CGATGAAATATTTTAGCAGACTTCATTTAAGTAGGAGATAAAACGCTCTTCATTTACAACCAAATATTCAAACCATATGGTCTCATATAATGGGAATGGTATTTTACTGGAAAAAAATACAGCGAATTATCTAACGCAAAGTGTTTAATATAATTTTCAACTATGTTTTGATTTCAATGCTTATTTATTCCTAACCGTAATTTCAAGTAGACTGTATAAAATAGCATCTTATATTTTGTAAGAGTTTGTTAATCCTTGTAGTATAATGAATGGATAAATTCTGCACTGCTGCATTCGTATAATATTGTCTCAAAATTCGGCAAAATTCTAGACGAAAACATTTGTGATAATCGGATGTGAATAGCTATACAGAAGTTACCCACACTCACACGTAGAATCAATATAGAAAAATAGAATATGTCATTTATAAATGTAAACATTACCACCACAGATATAATTTTCTATCAACAAACTTTAACATATAATCATGAAGAAGTGTTTCACTTTTGATTAAGATTTCTAACTTTCGGGACCAGTGATTTGTAGCTTCTAAAAAACACAATGAACACATGTGTCTAGTAATATCTTTAGTATTTTCCAATAAAAATCGTGTTATTAACTCTAAATTCTTCATACGCGTTGTTATTGTGAGAGATTGTAATCGAGAACATAGAGTAAGAAGTAATCGAACTTTTTCTAATGTACAAACTTCGTTCAAAGTCACATGCCGAATCTTATTTTTATTAGAGACTAATTGAAAAGTTTCATTTTGTTGAATTGATTTACAATTACTTCTGTAAAAAGACATTGTTCCAAATATTAATGTATGAATATTTGTTGTAAACCGTACTAATTCGATCAGTTTAATAAAAGAGAAACGACAACATTTAAGAACCAGGATAGATAATCGTTCCAAGGGAATAATACGACTGAGAATATTCGATATTGACTGATAATTAGTAGAAAAACCATTTTGCATTGTAAGTTTAGTAGCAGTTGGAAAATATATTATGCTCTTGGTTATTATTTTTTTCACATTGAATCTCAACATGATCGACTGATGTGAAATTAGTTTCGCAAGAATTTGCACAAGTTTTTTCATTGTTTGGCTCCAAAAATAGATGCTGTTTTCTTCTAAAAAATAAATTAATTTGTATGTCAGCATTCAATCTCCGATCAATGTGATTCTGTTCATTAAAATATCAATTAGATGTCGCATTCAAGGAATTTATTAAAATAATGTCTACGTGATGGCAATTTGTTGGGCACAGTTGTCGTTGCAGAGATTAAAGAAAAGTTTTTAAGAACCATGAGTAAATTCAACTTTCATAAAAAAATTTTTTATTCAGGTCTTGAGTTTAAATTAAGCTGCCGCGAGGATGCCTCCCAAGTAAAAAACCAGGTATAAAATCAGATTAAAATCGATTTTTAATCAAAAATTTCATACATGATTTCGATTATAATAGATTGAAATCGAAATAATGTATGAAATTAATTGACTAAAACGTGTATGATTTTAATCGAATTTTACCCCTAATGTTTTTTTTACATTGGCTTGCAATATTTAAAAGGGTTTTATTCGAACATAATTTCGAAAACCCATTCGAATCTCATTTCTATTTAACGACTCATTAATGTTTTATTAAGCTCAAAATCCGAGATTGGACTAGTATAATGTAAACATCCAAGATTGGACGGTGTGGGTGTGGAGTGTGAGTGTGATTGCGCGGATGTGGGTGGGTGTGGGTGTGGGTGGGGTATGGGTGTGAGTGTGGAGTGGATGTGGGCGGGTGGGTGTGAGTGTGGGTGTGGCAACAATGTAAACAGGATACTCAACACCCAAAACTACACCCACACCCCATCCCACATTCCACATCTCACACCCACATTCCACACCCCACGCCCACACCCACACCCTCACATCCCCCCCACTCCCACACCCGCCCACACTCACACCAACATCCCTCAGACACACCCACATCCTCTTTTCCTTTCTCGAATTATTTCTTTTACAGTTTTTACATCATGACTTTTGATATAATAAATATTTATTACAATAAACTTAATCAAAACAAAGGATATCATTCATGACAAATGTATATTTCATTCTCGTGACATATCTTAGTGGTGTAATCACTTTTGGCAACTTATTATAGAATATCACATCTCCTTCGCTACGATTATTCTATAAATATGAATTTCTATTTTAAGTAAATTACTTTTCTTCGAATTAAATTTGTTGATTCTGAATAAAACTATACAATCTCTTCCGGTATTACCTTCAAATTTTCCTCAATCTTACAAATTTTGAAATGACATTTCTCCAAAATGAATGAGACTTGACAAAGGAGCCAAATTTGTAAGATGTCAGGTGAAGTATGATCATTAGAACTCGAATTTATTTTTGTGTCTATGATTTGAATGCTGTGTAAGGACACAATCATTTGAAAGATATACAATATACATTTCCCTATTCGTAGGTTATTTCTATGTAACATTGTTGTTGAAAACGAGGGGATACAATCAACAAAGAAAGAAAACGTTTTTCAACAATGTAGATTAGTCATTCTGCTGATTTGAAAAAAATCTTTTCCATTAAGTACATAGTCTTGTTGACAATTGCTTGGATATTAATTGATAAATCTTTTCGAAGATTATTGTAATTTTGAAGTAAGAGATTTCCACAAGGGAATATTATGTCATTGAATTTGGTAAATAAATAGTTTCTACTCAGATATGTTTTGAAGTTTGCTGGATCGTTAACTACATCTGCTCTAGTTCAGCCCACGTAGAAGCATTGCAATATATGAGAGAAAAAGAAAACAAAAATGTTTTTTCAATCCACGTGTTTATTCGCATCGTCATAAAATATCATACGGATGAATGAACAGCTCTCATGACTAGTGTGAATATATTAATGTAATTACACACCTGCATATATATCAGTTGACTAAAAATCATATAAACAAGAAACACAAATGAGTAAGCTTGATTGGCGTATCAAAATAAAAACATTTTCGAAATTTTGCACTGCGTGTATTACTCCATAGCATAGGTGAAGTTTTTTTAACTTAATCTGACGTATGCTATGAAAAGAATGAATAACTTTCTTTTACTTGTAACACCAGTTTACGCAAATCAATCTTGTTTTTTTTTCAGAGTCATCATCATCATTAAATACAGTCGATAGCTTTTCTTGAACGTTAAGTTAATGACAGCGAATGGTTCTGGACATATTAGTAAGTTCATGAGATTTAGAGGCATTTATTTCTGAATTTTGTACTAGATAATCTCGGCAGAGCTCACACAAATGCACTTAAACAAACATGGATAGCTTTGATCGATGCTATAAGCAAGGAAACATCGTTACAAGGCAAGCAGATTGCTGATTCTGTCTATGGAGATGAATTATTTCGTGCAGTCGGCTATGATAATCCAGATGTACTTATACTTCGATGGCTTCGTTCTCATAAATGGAATGTGAACATTTGTGTTAGTCAAATAATAGAGGCACTTAAGTGGCGACATGACTGGGGCGTTCAAAAGCTAATAGCTAATGGCGAAAGAGCTATTTGTCAAGAAGAAATTGCAACAGGCAAGACTTATTTCATGGGTCACGATAGAGTAGGTCGACCAATTTGTTGCATCCATCCGAAAGAACATATCAAAGGCCAATTTCCTAACGAATATACTGAGAAACTGGCTGTCTTCTGTGTGGAAACATATCGCAAGGTGCTGAAACCACCGATAGAATCTGTAACGATCATTGCTGACATGGCTGGCTGTGAAATGAAGAACTTCGATCTGCATCAGATTAAATTTGTTACTACCCTAATCGACAGCTATTACCCAGATTCACTTGGTCTTATACTTATTCTTAACTGTCCTTGGATATTCGATAGAAGTTGGATGCTAATTAAAACTTGGTTAAGCCCAAGTGTGCAAAAAAAAGTACGATTTATTCATAGCGCAGACGAATTAGCCGAATTTATTGACCTATCAGTTCTTCCGAAAAGATTGTATGGTACTCAACCGGATTTTAAATTCATCCCACCGACGGCTGAAGATGAAATTATGTTTAATGCTTTTCAAGCTGATACAAAAGGCAAAGCAATCGCTGAAGCAGCACATCGAGATGCTGTTCAAAATTATTTGAGTGTCACTTTACAGTGGGCCAACGGCAATGAAAGTGGCAATATACTATCAGAGAGAAAAGAGGCTCGAAAACAAGTTCGTCATGCATCTGAACAACGTTCTCCTTATATAAATACCCGTACTCATTATCATCGTGTTGGAGTGATCAAAGAACCTATTTTTCAAGTTGCATACGATAGACTTGTGCATAGTAAAGAAGAGCCAAATGTCACATTCTTTTAAATGTAATCATTATTTCTATTGAGCGCTGTCTATTATAATATTTTAGAATGCGAAGGATACTATATGTATTTAATAAAAACGAGTCATATTCTTTAATAATGGAGGATGTGAGTGTTGCCATGGCATCCACACGTCATATCCACACCTACACCCTCTATTGATGATGATATTTACATCTTTTTACGTGTATAAACGTGATGAAGAATACTAAGTCCTTCAACACTTCGTAAAAATCTTGATGAACTTCAGAATATTTTTCAAGAAAAGATCTTCCTACTGATTACGTTTATGATGATATCATATTAGAAATCACAAAAACGATATTTGAGGTTTTTTTGTGAGAAAGAATAGACATTCAAAAATGAGACTCAACCAATCCAGAAGGACAGAAAAATCTTATAAGTAAAATGATATCTATAAAGCTGTTCAATTATGAATTATTGTGCACCATTAAATACGTGTGACTCAACAGTATTCGAAGCAATTGTAATTGAACTATATTAATCGCAAGTTGAGTGTTAGCTAGATAGATTTGTTGCACGAAATCGATGTAAAAAAAAGCCTCCATAGTCAATATAACATTAAATATTCTATAGAAATTCATCAACAAAATACAAATGATCTTAAGACTTTATTTTTTTTTCGCTACTTTCTGGATAAATAATTAATTGTGTGCATCTAAAAATTGCAATAAGTTTTTTCGTTTTTAAATCAATAACTTGGGCGTCCCAAATTTGTGTTGTCTTTCCACCATGTAGTAATTTAGCTTCACAATTTAATACAGCTGATGGTTTACCTTTTCCCAAAAAATTTGTTTTCAATTCAATTGTTGTAAGCGTAGTAGCTCCCAATGGTAATGATACCAAACCACCAAAACCACAAGTTGCATCAGCTAATGTTACAATAGCACCACCGTGAAGATAACCATCCACGGACATTAATTCATGATGAACAATTATCTGAGATAAAACATAACCGTAACGAATGGATAGAATTTCCAAATTAATTCGACCAGGAAATGTACTTTTTGTACGATCATTCCAATGTGTTACTTGAAGAAATTCATGAAGAGAAATTGTATTTGACGATTTATCGTTTTGATTTTCAGATGTAGCACTAGAAAACACTAATCGATAGTTATATTCAAATTTTATCTAATATTGAGTGTTTATTTTATTCTAATTCTGATACTATGTCGTGTATCGTTAGAAAAATCAAAATGAAATAGTTTTATTTGAAATGTTTTCTATATACAAAACTAATTATTTTCTTTGTTATCCCTAACATTTTCTAGTTTCATCGAAATCGACCTATAGGCAACCAGATGCTATACAGCTCTAAAAATATTTGATTTATGTTCGTGTAAAATTTTGACAATTTCGATGTTTTATAACTTTGAACTCTGGTGTAAATTCATTTTCATTTGAATTAGAATGATTGTAGAAAGTTAGGTAGACTCTAATTTTGCTATACGCTAAGATCTACTTTTAAACCGGTTATGAATTTTATATTATTTTATACAATAAGATTCATGATCTAACATTGAATCAATTAAAAACAGTCTCGAGCGCAATCTTTTTTTTCGAATGGAAATCTCAAACACATTCGAGTTAACAATTTTTTTGGCATCTACAACAATAATGTTGAATTACAATCCCTACGTACATGTTAATCATCAAAGAGAACTTATAATTCAATACTCCAATGATTAATTAACCGAGAAATATTCGTATTTATAAACGCAATAACAATAGGATCAACGAGATCATGTTTGTTTCAAAATACGAAGAAGTTACAACTAATTGGCTCAATCTTCGCTCACATATAGTATAAAATAGCACAGTTCACTCCTTGATAGGATTGATCTCTTTTCTCTTCTCACTGCAAAGATGAGACCTTATTTTTGAACATAGATACTTTTCCATACAATTTTCGACAAAATGTCCTTTCAGCCAGAAATTGATGACGAATATTTCATTGAATAAATCACAGTGTCAGTTTAATCTCGTTTTGCATGATGAACAAAATGCTTTTATAGAAACTTATCTTTGAAATTCTTTCATAAAACGTCAATAAGAGGGAACATGTAGACGAATGGATTCAAACATTTTTGAAAAACATATTCTCGTCTAACAATAATCACAAAAACCTACGATTTTTTTGTAACTTAATCGGAAATAGTTGTGTAACTTGAGGGTGTGGGTATCTTGCTGAAGAAAAAAAAGAAGGCAACTCCTGTAGCAGAAATTTTCACATGTAATTTCGACATTTGAAAGAACAAAAAAATTGGTTCTGATTTACTTGGTTAGATATTGTGCATTTTCTGGAAGATTAGAATTACTTGAAATTTGTTTGAATACTGATGGTGGTAGTTGTTGTTGCAGATTTTTATCAACATAATAATAGAATTTATGTTCTTGTTGATCTATAATTGCTTTTAATTTTTCATTAGTTCGATAGCTTTCGATAATTGAAGAATCACATATATAATTTTTTGATACAGAAGACAATAATACACGACAATAAATATTTTCAAAAGGTAAAAAATTTCTCCTGAATATTAATCTAGCAAACATTTATATATAGAATCTAAAATACATTTCAAAAGTAAACACTTCAGTCATCAAAACAAACAAAATATTCTTTCATTTTATAGAATTAGAAGTTTTATTGAAGAATTCAACACAAAATATTTTACATATTTTCGAATATCTACTTGTGAGATAACGAACAAGAGTGAAAAGGAATGTTGTTTATTAGTAAATTAACATTGGAATTTAAAGTAAAAACCTGAAGAGAAAGTTTTAATTTGTTTTTCTTCTAAATAAACAAATGCAATCAAACAAAATAGAATCCTGTAATAATAATAGCATCTTGATTGTTCACCTCGAAGTTTTCGTAATAGATAAATAGGACACGAATGAAAGGCTATTGACTGAAATTAAAGCCAGAAGATAAGAAGGACACGAATAGATGACAGTAGTATACTGAGAATATCGAAGAGCTATTGATGGTTAAGAACACCATAAAATTGATCGTTAGCCTGACTCGGTTCATTGTTGAAATTTTCTTCACTTTTATTCTGTATGTGTTTGAGATTAAACTTTACCAGACAAAGACATGATATGTTTAAATACTATTCGAGTGCCACTGTGAAATAGTTCATCCTCTTCATCGTCGAAGTTATATTAGGACCTTAACAAGATGGTGTGAACGTGGGTGTAGTTACTCTGTATCCACACCCACCCTCACTCACACTCCACACTCTGTTCCACTGAATGTTAAAAGATCAGGCGAGATCACACGCAAGATCTTACAAGATATAGACCTTCAGATTATGGAAGAATCTTACGCTAACATATTTTTACGATTCCATAAGATCATACAGAATGAATCTATTGGTTTTCTATTGTCTCTCTGATCGTGTAAGATCTTATATGATCTTTGTACGATTTTTTCATCTAGAAAGCCATCAGTAAACTGACGCCACACATCTCTAGTAAAAGTATGTCCGTTGAAAGTGGTTTTTAGAATCGAAAGTATGCAAACTCTTATAAATAGTTAGTCAAGCAAATTATTATCGATACGCACTGCTAGTCCAAGTCTGACATCTAATCAAATCTTTATTCATTGGTTGTTTGCTTTTTCTTTATGTTCTGAAGTCGAGAAAAAAACATGATTAACGAAGTTGTCATTTTTCTTTTAACAAAGCCGTCGATTCGTATTTGTCACTTATGCGATCTGAAGAAACCTATATCTTCAACATGGCTTAAAATTAAATTATACGACAAAATCTCTCAGCATCGCTTGAATGGTTTGACTTCTCTTGATATACTCTTTTTATGCTGAGATTGTGCAATGTTGGTGCAGATGAGCATATGCTAATGATTTTTTTTCTTGTTGTTTATGATGACGCAATATAAATCGTATGTTATTGACACAGTATGATTACTGTAATAGAAGTGAGGAAACTTCCCTAGAAAGAATACTCTTTTACTATCAGAAATTTATTTTCGAAAAAGATCATCACTAGACATGAACGTGGCGATGACAAGTTACAAAAGTTATTTATTATCTTGTTACTTTTTTCACTCATACTAAATGAAAGAAGACAAAAAAAAATCGACGTAAAATTCTCGGTCATAATTACAATACACTTATATATGTACAGCGTCTATAATACTGTCGATGGTCAGTCAGCAAAAGCATGATCGACAGCTTGTCGATGTAAACTATGTGTCATGACCATCGTTCATGATATATTTTTTGTTTTATAGTATGTTCTTTCTTGTGAGTTTGCATCTGCTGTTGTCTTCTTGTTATTATAACATATGTGATATTCTTTGATTCTTTTTTTCTCTTCGTCTCTCATAATTTTTGATTTGTTCCTCTCAAAGAAAAGATATGTCACCCTTATGTTCCTATACCTTAGAGAGAGAGAGAATATTTTCAAAAAAAATCTGGTAGTTTTTATTTGAGCGTGTTATTTTCTTCTTTTTTTTTCTTGGAATAAAATAAATCATATGGAATAGTAACTTTACCAGGCCCTTGTTAACATAGAAACACGAATCACGTAACTATCTATGTTTTAATTTTTAATTCTAGATGACTTCTGATTGGAATCTATTCGACCGTTTGCCTAATGAAGTGCTCGAACAGATTTTCCTCTCGCTGCGTCATCTGCCGCCTTTTACAAAAAATAATCACGTACGTCTCACGCCAGACTCACTATACTTCGACTATTCGATTCAACAGCCTTTATTGAAACAAACTCATAAAGATCTTCTTTCAATCTCACTTACTTGCCGACGTTTTTATAACATTCTTAAATCACCGATTTTTTGGGAACGAAAATGCCGTCACGATTACGTTTTGGTGCCCACTCAAGTTTTCCCTGCTGACTTTACAGCCTATCAGAAACTCTATATCAATAATCCTTTTCATCCATCATTCAATTTTATCGAGGAGAACAAATGGAGAAAATCTCGATATTCAGATTCACAAATTGAATTTATTCCAATTGGTAGTAATCGGCTCTATGATGAATTCAAACGTCTCTCTAACTGTCGTGTAACATCTTATACTTGGGGACACTTCTTTCAGAGAGACATTCAACTTCTTACTGATAAACTTTCATGGCATGATGTAAGTAATTAATGAACTTCAAAGGTTCATTTGTTCACAATTCTTTTTCGTACCAACTGCAGAAGCTACAGAAATCAATATAAAATTTTCTTGTGATCCTTAAGTCAAAAAGAATCCATGTTCTGACTTCGAATGAATTGAGCAGTTTCGTTGGTTTTTCTTTGAAAAAGAATGCCTTTGTAATTCATGATACCAAAGTGTGACGATATTTTCATCTGTTTTTTTTTTTAATAATTTTATTTCTAGCTTGCTTGTCTACATCCAGTAATTGAATTCTCTGTATGTGTGGCTCCACGATGGGATTGCGCTTCAGAGTGTCGTATCTGCCTCATTTTTTCTGATGGACATCGTTGGGAATGTGAACGGCAATTTCCACAATGGAACGATAAAAAGTGGCACCAGTTGACTTACCATTACAGGCAATATACTCGATTTCCTACATCGGTAACTGTACAATTATCTGGCAAAGATAGACAGGGTTGGGCAGGATACTATGGTACGAAGTTTGCTCAGACTCGACTTCGATTACTCTCTCATACAGATGGAGGCGAGACGACTAATCAAGAAAATGAAACAATCATGGAAGAAAAAATCGAAGACGAACTTAGTCAAGCTCCACAATCTGAATCTATGCCCGACAACTTACCTGTAGATGATAGTGATGAATTTGTTCGGCAAAGTACATCACCATCTTACTCGTCATATGGCAGCACCGAGTCAGACGATGAATGATCTCTCCTTTCGAATTCATATTTCACAATATTTATATGTATCACTTTCATTTTCTCTTGCTTGGTGCAGTACGATAAATGCCTCTTACACTCAAAAATACTTAATAAAATTGAATATTTTAGAAAATATTCGTATTTTTTTTTCTTCAATTGTTTTAGAGATATAAGGAGATGAAAATAAATTTTCCTATGATACTATGAGATAGAGAGCATCAAAGAGGTTGCTACCGGAAAGATTCGATGTGAGCAGTACACGGATATAGACGTGCTGAACAATTCTGTCTCAAAATATAAAATGATACTTCTATTCTGAGTCAACCTCATCGTGTTGTACGTGCATGGAACAGTCTTAGTAATAACATAGCAGCATTAGAACATTATGAAAAGCATTTCGGGTAAACTTAACATATTTATCGCCAGATCATTGTAGTGTTGCTTACATATACGAAAATATTGATGATTATTACTGAAATCTAAATAAGAACAAATTGATGCATCTTCATCTTCTGTTTCAAACAATGAGAATCGCTACTCTCTATCTTGTTTCGATCAAAAGTTATTCAAAAAATATACACTTCACTTTTTTTTCAATAGGCAGTAGTATAAACGTGACGTATGACAGAAAGATAGAGCAGCGTTTTTACTATCAGTCCGTGTAGAGAAAGGGTGTGGGTGTGGATGTTAGTCTTCTTTTTGTCTCACAGCCACCCAAGGAGCACTTGTTTTCGCATTTCTCACTCAGTACCCACTGCTCAGGACATCCCTGTCTATTCACGGAAACATTCAAGAATTCATTTAAGCTATTGACTTTGATAATCGACCAAACCAAATGCTACCTAAGACATGAGCGGATTCGATTTAACACATAATACACACTAGTCCAGCGAAGAAAAGTATTTCTTGATAGTTTACGAACGTTTATCATTAAAATTGTGTTCCTGTTGCTCTTAAAGAGTCGTCATCGGTGCATACTTTACCTGTAACTTGGTGGCACGATGTCAAACGATGTAATGTTGGTAGATTAAGTAAAAGATTGATTTTTTTCACATTCCGATTTAGATATCTTTTTGAAACGGTAGCAAAGTTACGTTTTTTTCTTCTTTACAAACGTTGCAATAGATCCTAGAGGAAGTAAGGAAAAAACCTTGACTATTCAATTATCTAGCAATCTTTCGACAGTCATAAAAAAACAAACATCAAACGAAAACAGAATTTATATGAATACACTTCGTTAGAAACGAAAAAGGTAATAAATAGCTGTAACATATTGGTGTTTGTTCGTCAATCACCAATTACATTCGTTTGACTTGAAAAACACACCAAAAAGAAGCGCCTTAAGAAATTCGCTGTTCCACACGTATCACCAATAAGATGAATACACGTATGTATATTTGTTTTTTCATTGAATATTTTTCTTCACTTTTTCCGACGAGTATTTTGATGCATCGATTCGCGACAAAGAAAGCGAGCAAATTGAGCTCATTACTTTAAAGAATGTTTTTAAAATCTCTTATTTGAATTTCGCTTTAGTTTCTCGGAAGTTCTTCTTGAGTTTTATTGCTTTGACGAAGGAAGATAAATCAGAATATAAAAAAAGAAACGTTCAACACTTTTGTAACACTCTGTTCATACTTGCAACTGGGTCAACCGATTTACCGGTTATGGATTCAGTTTGGGTGAGCATAAGGCATTGAACAGATGTGCTAGTATTCTTCTAACCGTAATATTCACACCTGCTTCCATACAATTTAACAATGTTTATTTCTATTGAAGCTTCGTGATATACTGAAAATTGAATGTAATTTTAATGAAGGAATTCTATGAAATAGTTGATTTACATAAGAACATGCTTCACATTTTTTTAAATATTGTTAGTATTCGACAAGATTGAAAAGCTTTTGTCTATAGTATTTATGAAAACTTTTCACTGTTTCAAGGAGAATAAAAGTGAATAGCAATGTCTTATTTAGTAATATATAGTAGAGAAATCACTTGTGACGATTCATTTTCATTATAGAAATATGAAAATAAAATTTATTTTAATAAATTCAAGTGCTTGCTTTCAAGTTCATAACAATTCGAGTTAAATATTCTTCTAAATTATTGACATCATAAGACAGTCCAAATCTTTTCAATCTTGAATGTGGGTTAAATGAAGGAGCACACTCACAACCACCCAAACTTCACAGCCACACCCACACAGACACATTCACTATCATTCGATAATATGCTGATCTCGATATTTCTTTCAGAGTAAAATTCATAAAATTCTTGTCAGTATTAAAAATGTAATCTATATTTCCAATATACGGGAGAAAATAACACACGTTAAGCAAACGAATACAAGTTAAAAGAAAAATAAATCTTGTGTAAAATACTTATTTGAAGAAAGAAAATAATTTATTTATTTGTTTATTCTGGAGTATCTTCAAGATTTTTTTCATAGACGCAAGAAGCAAAATGGGATGCTTTTTCAGATTCAATGAAATCCAAATCAATATCATTGAATCTATTTCTTCGAACATTGTCACTGTTATGTTCAGTGACATGTTGAACAAGAAGTGAATAAATAACATCTTTCAATGGACCAGCATAGTAATATTGACATTCTAAGGTGAAACCATCTTTCTCTTTAATTAACCATAACTGTTCATTTGAGCTAGAATCTAACATAAGATCATTTAATATAGTCTGAACTTGTTGAAATGGAATAAGAGATGATTGAGAAAGATGAAGAAGTATTTTAGCTGTAACATATCGAACACTCATAGATTTTGATTTTAAATATGATAATAAACGTTTTAAAACGACTTTCTCATCTTTAACCGAATGAATAAATCTTATAGATTTATAACAATTATTTTGAATATATGAATCATCACGTACAGCTTCAATGAACATTTGACATAAGTCGATTGTTAATTCACCCAACAGCGATAGAATTGTTAAGCAAGAGGCGCGCTGTGGAAAATGATTTTGTTTACTCGCATAAAACAATGCCCGTTTTAAATTGTCTCCATCAGGCCAATCTTTGATGAAAGCACAAAATACTTTTGGCATACGTACAGCGATTAGACAAGCAATATTCACATATGTAGGATATCCGTAGGCTAAATCATAGTTATTGAATTCGATCTGCTGTATTTTATTGGAAAAATGACGAATACTATCGTATAATTCGACCATAAAGATTGGTAAAAGAGTTGGGTATTCTTCGATAAACTTTGCAACATTATTTTCATTATTTTGCTGAATTTCATCAACATACCAGGATGCTGTTGATCCGATCAATGCATGGTAACATTGAATATAATCACAATCGAGAAACCTAATTAGAAATAAGGAATCTTTGAGAACACGAGCCAATCCTACACGAACAGCTTTCACAATATCCTGTGAGTGATGTTTTAATAAAGTAGAAAAGAAATTTAAATCATCTTGATCAAATGTGATTTTATTTATAGATACACAATAGAAATAACTTGAGATGAGCGCACATATAACATTATTAGAATAATTAGAAGTACCATAACATGTTTTGTTCACTATCCATACAATTTTATCAAACAAATCTTTATATGTTTTATCATTACATACATAACCAAGAAGACACGCCACAGCTTGGCAAATTTGATTGTTATTGGACTTCTCAAATAACTTCATCAGAGCAGTAATTCCTGCCTGTCGTGTTTGATTAGTATTGTTCAGCAATTTGTATAAAGTCAAAAGTAATGAAATAACAAATCGTTTATGACTTTCTGAAACTTCATCTGATGTTGTATCTCCATTGATGGAGAAGAATAAAATAAAATTCGATTCAATCATTTCACACAAATATATCACCAAATCACTAGAGAGTTGAAACGAATTAATATAGGAGCATGTATCTAGCTCTATATTATTTGAAAAAAATGAAGTTACATAAGAATGTTTCGATGAATTTAAATTGTTGAAGGAATATTCTTTATTGGTCAATGCATGAATTCTATATCTTTCTAGCCAAAGTAATATTTCTAGATGAGACTGAATATCGAGAGTTATATTACGGATCAATCGATTTAATGTCAGTCCAATAGATGCTGAATTTAATTGATAGTGAATTTTTTTCTTGACTAGAGTTAATAAAACAGGTATACCTAATTTTGAACTAGTTCGAACGTCATGTTCATATGATGATCGACATATAATTTCAGCTCTATGACGAAAACGATCATTGTCATTAGATAAAAGGTCACATATGATGGCTGTAGCTTCGACAGACCATATGTCAGAATTAATGAGAAGAAGTGCAGCATGATAGGCAAAACAAGACAATTCATTTGATTTTTTCCATTTCAGCCAAGATTCTAACAAACGACATGCTTTAAATTCTACCCAAGTCATATCATGAAGAGCATTATTTAGTATAACCCAAAGTTTCTCATACTGATTATATTGATTTGTTAATGAAACGAAGGAAAGAATATTAGTGATTGTTAATACTTGTTCTTCTCTCAAAATACTTTTTCCGACTTGAAATAGTTTTGTTTCAATCGATTCATCGATGCTTAATTGACGATTATTCGCTTGAAAAATATTATGAAAATCATTGGCTAATTCCACAAGATATAAATTTGAAATAGATAATGAGAACGATAGATTTTCATATGTACTAATATTAAAATATCTCTTCAAAGCAGAAGATTTACAATGTATTTTTCTATTTTGGTCATGTAAACTATATGAGAAACGATTCGTAATAGATGAAAAAGTACAATTCAATTCCATGTATGGTAATAAGGCTTCAATAACTGCTTGCCGATCTCGTTGATCTATATTATTAAATTTACTAATGAGATTTTGAAGACAATCGTCGATCGCTTGTGAATGTGAAAGTAAAGGTAAACATCTAATGAAAATAGCTGTTTGTAATAGAAGAGGTAAATTTGGATAAATTTCATTGAATTGATGTTCGATTTCCATTTTTAAAGATCTGTTTCTATCTACTTTAATTTGATCATAATCAGAATGTGAGTATAAAGCAATCAGACATAATGCATCAAGACGAGCAGGTTGGTTTTGAATTGACATGGCACCATTTATAGATTGTTCTAATAAAAATAATTTTTTTTCATCGTCTGTCCAATGACAAATATGTGCCAAGGAGATTGATGCAGAATAGAGTTTAATATCTTTTTGTTCATTATTAATGGAAGTCAAAGCATTTTGAAGTCTTTGATATTCTTGTTCGATATTAGTTCGAATTATTGTTTTTCGTTTTTCATCTTTTAGATGAGATCCTTTAAAAAAGTTTGTATCTCTATCCATGTACTGACCAGTTTCATAATTGGTTGGACGTTTTCTTTTTGTTTCATAAATATCCAAAAGAATTGAATCATCTATAGCTAATGCCCATAAAAGACTACTAGCAAAATTTTCTAACTGCTGTATTCGAAGCCAAGGTAACAGATTAATTAAAGCGCCTAAAATAGACAATCTCTTGCACGATGGATTTGATAAAAATATTAAACATTCAGTTAGAATGTGACCAAAATAAAGATGTTGTTTGCTATTGGCTATTGAATCTTTTGGATTGATTATAATAAATTTTTCTTTCAATAATCGAATATAAAGATTCTGTAAATGTGAAGGAACAAATGTTAACGAAGTTAAAATATCTTCATCATTTCGAAATAGTAAATATTCCGGTATGGTATTCAAAGCAGTTGACATTCTATATGATGTACCAAATTCATCACTGTGTTCTAATAGCCAAAAAAGTTTAGTGAAATGATGAATTAATGAGCAAGATTTTCGATTAGAATGAAATTGTACATCTGTTATTAATAGACCATTAAGGAATTGATTCTCATTTCGCAGAGAATTAGGCAGATGTAATGTCATTCGTTTATCAGGTTCTGATAAACCTTCTAATAAAATAGATGTTGAAGAAGATCGCAAACGAGCTACACTACTTCTTAGTGAATTTAACATATCAAGAAAATGAAATCTTGATGCTTCAATTAATTGAAATTTGTTGATACTAGTTGAAATAAATTTTGTTGTTTCCTGTTCCATGGATAGGTCATTTTCATCCGTAGCAAAGTAAAATTGACGTAAAATCATTGAAATATATTTTAATCTATTGATACAAATGCATAAAAAAGAATCAGAAATAATATCTAAATTGTTATGGATGTATTCAATGTCATATAAACAAATCGTTGCAATACACAAATCAACTGCTTCTACAGATTCATCATGTTTTTCCATTCGCATGACAAAAGATTTTAAACATTCTTGTTGTAATTTTTTAAAATTTTGATCTTGTTTATCACAATCATTTGCAGAAAGAAAACCTATTAAAATTGGTGTTAATACAGATGATTCTCGATGAATATGCCAAGGATTGAAGACAATACTCTGACCATTTCGAGTCAAGCCGCCATATAAAGCAATAATTAATGGAAAGAGGAGAATAGGAATTGAATTGCTTTCAATTTGTTTATCAATCAAAAAACTTTTGAACGTAGTTGAATTCAAAGGTAATAACTGATGATTTGAGAAAGCAATTTTAACTAATAATCGATCAATAGCAAATCCATTATTTTCATCATCAATTATTAATAACGATTGAAGTATTGAACAGGATGTTTGATCTAACCATTGAATATTTTCAAATTCATGAGGTCTTCCTTCGAGAATTTTGCAAAGAGCTGTTATAGTTTGAATATCATATCGAGACGATTCAGACAAGAATTTTTTAATCCATAATGAAACAATATCTTGTCGAAATTTTTTTAGTACATTTATAATTTGATCGAGTAGAAACGGACAAACAATCGACCATTGATGTTGACCAGCTGCAATGATTAAACGATCTAAGGCATTGAACAAAATGTCATTTGAAGGATAATTAACAAATTCATCGACACAAGTAATTAGTATATAAGTACCAAGTGGTACAAAACAGTCATATTCATATTGAGCTTGTATAAACTCGTAGCAAAGATCGTCAAAATCGTTTTGAGACCAAGACAAACTAATTTTTCCTAAAACCAATGCAATTGGTACGTGAAACCGTAAATTAGTTACGTGACGAGACAATACTTGAGCAATAACTTGAATTTGGTTGTCTCGATCGAACACATCAGTAATGAATCTCTTCTGTTTTATTGGTGTATGTCCTTCGATGAGTTTCAAACAAGTAAAATATTTTTGAAATGCTTGATGAAGAAAACCATAGAGTGATTCGGTTCGCAAAACTAAAATACCAATATCATCACAAATGATTCGTGCCATTTCAAATGCTTGTCTTTCAAAACCATTCATATCATCTGTGGTTACTAATGTTTTGCTTATGAAACTTTTGATCTTTTGAACACAAATTTCTTTTATTTGTTCATTGTTAATGAAATTCGATGCTGAATTTTGATAGATATAAAAAGCGATGTCACTCAAAATCTGAATCACTTGTGATTGATCTATAGTTGGTACTTTAATATGCCAAAACTTTAATGCTTCTTTGATGATTGATTCATATTGAAGAAAACGTTGAGTAGGTAATGGCGGACAGTCTAATTGACTAAAACATACATTACAAATACATGATAATAGAGCACAATTCGAAGCCATTTCACGAAGATCAGCATTCATTGTTTTTTCTAATTCTTTTTTCAGTGCATCACTATGATTTTTTGCTTGATTAACTAAGGGAAGATTTAGCATGTCAATTATATGTTGATGCACACGAAAAAACCAATAATCAACAAAATCTGTTATAGATTTTGTATCCATAGGTTGAATTGTATAGCAAGAAAATTGTTTCAGTAATGAAGTAGTGTGATAACTGATTATGCGACTTGTAACAATCAATTGATTACCTCCAGATCGAGATGGATCATCTAATAACTTATTTAAGTATATATTGTCGACGGCAGAAATATTTGTCGGTATTTGAACATAAATGTTTACAAAGTTTTCAATAATATTAATGATTTTTAAGCGTTGATCTGGAACCAAAATTTCATCAAGACCATCAAGTATGATTAGAGCTTGGCCTTGTTGAATATAATCTTGAAGAGCACATGATACATTATCAGAAGAGATCGATGAATCATCAATAGTTGGTTCTTTCATCCATTTGTGTTTTCCAATATAATCAAATAATGTTAATGATGGTTGTTCTTTCAATTTTTCGGCAAATTCTTTAATAGGAATTAGAATTGGTATACGAAGAGGACCATAATCAGTTGAATGTTGTTCATTGAGAAGAAGTGTTTGAGCAAGATGATAAACAAGCCATCGAACAAAAATTGTTTTTCCACTTCCTGGATCACCGAAAATAATAGTCCAACGTTTAGTCCGAAGAATCTGTTCCCCATTTATATCATCTTCTTCTGAACAACAATTATTTTCAACCACAGGTTTCGTGTAAGGAGCCGATATTAATCGTTCCCACATTCCTGTGAGTTTTTCTCTTCTACTATTCACATCTTGTACCATATTGGAATCATCTTCCGTCAATAATCGTCGTAATCCGTTTCTTTCGAATGGTGTCAAGTTATCGGCTTTAAATCGAATGAATGTGCGTTTGATAGGAAATTTACATGATTGCCATTCATTTTCTAATATCATTTCTTCTCTGCTAGAAATTTGGTAGAAAAACTTGGCAACTTTGGCAACAACATCACTAGTGAGACCAGGAATAAATTCCCATTGATGTAGTTCGATACAAGTACGAAGATAAGATTCGATCGTTTTGGAATATTTTTCACGTAAGTGACGAAGTTTTTCTATGCTATTTTTCTTGGTTTCTTGTTCCATTACATCTAATCTTTGTTGGAATGTCTCATCCGAAGATTGCGTCACACAGACTTGTTGGTCTTGTAAAGCGGTAGATAATATTTGAACTTTAATTTTACAATCATCTGTTAGATTAGACTCATATTGAGCTAGTCGATATTGAAGACGAAATAGTACAGATTTCAGTTCCTTGTAAGTCATCCCATTAAGAAGGTTTTCATTTTCCGCACAAATAGTAACAATTTCATCAATGGTTTTTAGTATTTCTACGAGATCTTCTTGGGAACGAGTTTCGTCTAATACGGTTAATCCATCATTCAACCGATGTCGAAAACGAGTTAAACTAATTGTTATTAGTTTCATATAATCTTGACACACCTTTACTTCATTTGCTCTTTCAATAATTTTATCGACTGCTGTTAATATTGATTCATTAGCAATAGATGCCATTTAAATCATTCAAAATAATCTTTTTTTCTAGAAATAAGTAGAAAACTATAAACAAAAACCAAACTACTTAATATTATTAGTATGATTCAACATTATTCTGTGTATAGCACCAATGAGAGAATAAGATAAATCAATACCATACAAAGTATGAAAATTCATGAGTACAAATCTACCCGTAAAAAATATTTTAAAGCAACACGACGCTTGTTTTAGACTGCAAAAGCCAGATCGTTAATTCAGTTTGATGAAATCGGTGGAAACTGCAGTTTGTAGCAATTTAGAAAAAATGAATAAATGGCCATACTTTTGCGTTTTGCGAAACACGATCTGAAAGAAGTGTTGAAGTATATGGGGTAGAAATTTGTATCCACCTCCCACAGACTGTGAGGAACGGCTTCAAAAATCTATTAGAGGTTATGTATAACTAACGTCTAATTGAAATCTACATATATAATATTGCATTATTGAAGTTTTACGCTGCAAGGTAAGGAATGTTACCGAAATAATCCCCAATATACATAAAAAAGACAAATCTTTAGGGGATTAGCAACCATGAGAATATCATGTTTCACAGTGTAATTCCACAGGGATTGCACTAACAGTTTTATAATAAAACTGCAAAAGACCGCGGTTCATAATGGTTTTGAAACATTCAATCAAGGGTTTGCTTTTCGTAGTTACTCAAGGGCACCCTCAAAAATCTAACCTAACCAGGGAACATAAGATATTCATGACACTTTGCACAGATATTGGGTTCATGAAAGTACATTACTACAAAAAAAATTTCACGTCTCTTTACCTTGCTGTTCAGGAGATTTCTAGGGACGAACTTGTAAAACAGACCTTAAATTTTTTTTAAATATACTTCGAGCTACTGAGTTCGGTTTGCTTTCATTTGAAAGAGAACTCCTCACTACTTCGGATGAAGGAAAGGTTTTTTTTTAATTTTTACTGTTTCCTTTTTTTGATCATCGAAATCTCAAATATTCAGGACTGCTTGTCTCAAAAATCCCGGATTTCTCTAATATCGATGATTATCTAGAAAATTCCTTTCCCTCAGCTGAAGGACTATACATACATGTATATCGATCAAAAAAAAAATACAGCCCGCTCGAATGAATTGTATTAAAAAACACTTGTTCGCAGTTCGATCTGTGACAAAAAAAAACACTCTTGAGAAAAACGCAAAATAAATTTCTTTTTGTATACAGTCTTGCTATCATTAGTAGAAATAGAGGTGAAGAATATATATATTACATGTCAATCTAAGCACTTATCGATGAGCATTAGATTGTCCTCATACGATATGCATCATAATAGATGGCACTAACTACAATTGCATTACTATGCCTCAAACTATCGACCTAGGCGATACAGACAGATGAATAACAAATTAGTCTTTTTAAATTAAGTTGTTAACATATAGAGTGTGGATGTGGACCAGTGTCAGATCATCTGAAATATCAAAAAAAAAACATTAACATTGAAACCAGGACGGAGAGTTATGTTTTTATAGATACATTTATCAATGATTCTAGATCGATTAACTGAAATAGGAGTGTCAGTATCTGGCTCCGGTCCTGATAACCCATATCGATTTGATAGAGATTGAGAAAATAAGCACGTTCATAAGTCTCAATATATAATCATAAACATGTGGAAACAAATCTTCGAGTGGGTTCCGTTCCTTGGGAACGGAATCCTAGGGAACGGGGAACCCTGACACCCCTACACTGGAAAATCTTCATAACTTTTGAATGAAACGAGCTAGTAATGTCGGCCTTGCGTAGATCGAAAGAGAACAATATTTCCTATCTAACAATCAAATTAACGGCCAAGGCTCGCTGAAGAAACGACTCCAAAATGTCGCTTTTGTTACATGTCCACTAACAAGATATCTGTTTGGTCAATTGCTGAGCAATCAACTTTTAGCAAATCTCTATGTTCCTAGGACTCTTCTGTGCAACGGCGAAAACCACCGCTTTGTATCTTGTTCTTATCAAAAGTTATGCAAAAAGAATACAACAGCTTTGTACTCTGAAACAGATAGTGGCTCCAAACAGCTTTCATAAAACCTCCGAATACATTGGAAAATCAAAACTATTTTTATGAATTCGTACACTAGAGAACTCAGGCTACATGCTTACATGTTTACTTCAAAAGCGATTTTTCTGATAGGAATTGAGTTTTCTAAAGGGCCCTTACAATCAATGGAAATCACGGTTTTTCTAGGCATACCTGTGTCAGTAAACCTGGCTCAGGATGAGCAGACCCACTTGAACTTTATACAAAGTTCAGCTCGGTTGTCCTCCGATGGACAGCGTAGTGAACTTTTTCTAGGCTGGTTACCACAGAATCACATTGCGGTGTTAGATAGAATAAGAAAATTTATTTCAAATTTCTTAGAATTAGTTGGGCTCGACATCCTATTCGCTCTTCTAAATTCTAACGTACTTCAATATGTATACTATACGAATTACGTAAGGAAAATAGTGAACATTAGATGCATATCAATATCAAAAATTGCGATTTTATGGAAAGCTTTCTTCACAGAAATTGATTGTAAGAATCCTGACTACAGTTATGATTACATTACTAATATTTGATGCTTTGCAAACCTAAAGGATAAGACACTACGGTTACAGTGGTTTTCTCAAAAAACATTTCTGTAGGTAGTGTGTGCAATTTTGAGTCTATATGAGAAAATCTCTAAGAAATAAATCTATTGTTCTACTGGAATTATGTAGCAAGATATTCAATGAAATTGATAGTTAACTTGTTCAATTATAAGAAAAATTTTAATATTTGGCTAGAGAATCAAAGTAAATACAATATAACGATTCGATGGGTAGACGTGCCCAATTACTTATTCTGAAATTTGATAGATTTTGGTAAGAAATCTCATAAACGAGTGTCACCTTGAAATATTTCTAGCTTTGCTTATTGTGAAACGTTCTTCTTGGTAAATAAACTGACTTAACAAAAAAAAATAAGAAAAAGAAAAAGAAAAAACATCAGTTATCAAAAGAGAAACCATTTTAAAAATGGCAGTCAGTTATGGCGTAGTGAAGAAAATGAAATTAAAATGAAACATGCAAGAATGTTTTTTTTCGCTGAGAAGCTTTGTTACTACATTATACTCCGTGCAACTATTAAACAAAAGCAAATAGTCGAGTTTATGCACAATGAAACCCTTCTTTTTGCCGTTGTTGGAAGAATAAATTTTACCTGAAAAGAGACTAGAAAGAACAATTTCGTATTTTATCTCTCCATTAATGTAACCTATAACGAAGAGTTGGGTGTGCGTGTGGATGTGGATGTCTAGCTAATCTTAGACCACATGCATATCCCACACTCCTACACCCACATCCATAACCTTTTTTGGGTATGGGTGTTGATGAAGTTAAGTTCCACACCTACACCCTGCATCAGTAATCTTTCCTAGTTCCATCACATTTCTGCAATGTACATTCGAGTATTGAGCAAAGTCTACTGTAAAAAAGAGCGAATACAAGAAAATCTATATTATTGATTCGTTACGCCCTAATTTGTTTTAAGCATTGAAATTTGTTGTTAGACTAAAACTTCAGCAGACACAAAGTTATTAGACCAGGGCGTCTATTGTTAGACTACGTATATTAGTTACTTGCGAAAAGTATGTAGGAGTTACTGCACGGGGTACTGAATAAGGTTTTCTTCACCAGCGCTCTTGTCAATCTTCACACCAGGCGTATCTCGTAATCCATCGAGAAGCTCGGGTGGAAATTCTTTTTTAATGATTTTCATCGCGTGAGGACAGAATTTTTCGTAGAATGCAATAAATATTTTGTCCTTCTCTTTTGTAGACCGACTCATGTAACTTGGATGCTTCATGAGCACGAGCTCATTAAAACCATCACCGTATACATCCAGAGTCCTTTCAATTTCTATTGCAGTTGGTCGCCGTCTCGAGTCGTAGGCTATGCATCGAGAGATCAGCTCATCGAAGATTGGACTTTTATTGTGAAGTGAAATTTTGCCGCTAGGTAAAGTTTGAAATGAGTGTTTTGTCGAAGTGAAAAGTTCATTCAATGTTAAGCCGAATGTGAAGATATCAAGAGTTTCATCATAACTACCATGGTAATACTCAGGTGGCATATATGATTGACAGCTGATTTGCGTCTGCTGACTAAATGGATCGAAGAACCGCGCAATACCCATATCACCAATTTTGGCTACATCATTTTCGTTCACGAAAATATTATCTGGTTGAATATCTCGATGAACCATTTGGTGTTCATGAATCTTTCGCATTCCGCTAGCAATATTTCTTGCCATATCAAGTCTGCGTCGAAGAGACAGTTGGCTTCCGTTTTCTTGGATAACCTTAGAAAGGGTTCCACGAGACATATATTCCATGATCACCATATATTTTATGTTTTCACCTTGTTCTGTTTTTGCATATCCGTATGTTTTCAAGATATATGAGCCTGCAAGTTCGGAATAGGCAGCTAGGTCTTTAAGAACGCCTTTTTCAAGTACATCTGTGTCATCTGTCTTAGGTAAAGTAATCGTTTTACATGTAATACGGCGCATTTTTGAAAGCCATCGAGCCTTGTATAGCGAACCTAAAATACGAGAATTTTCACAACACAGTAAGGTAAATTCTGTAGAAGTGTCTACCGAATGTTCCACTTCTGAGTTGGCTACCGATTTGAATATCTTCCACTGGAATCTGCTGAATCGCACGACGCGGCATGATGATAAGTGAGTGTGACAACTTGTGTGCTTTTGTAGTAACACTTCCATCCACACATTGTTGACATAAGTCATAATTTGAACAAGTATCACATTTAAATCGTAAGCCCTTGATAGGTTCACGGTTGCATCCATCACAAATAATTGATTCATGATTGTCATCAGCATATAATGTTTTGAGCTTAGAAAATGTCACGTCGTTGTCTCTGACTATTCGACCAAATAATTCGCCGACAGATTTAAAATGAACAAATGCGTGGCCACTCTTATGATGCCTAGATTCTTTTCGACGTGCAAAGCAACGACTACACATATCTAAGCCTTCACAATTTAAGCATCTGTAACGATCCCTCTTGATAGGAAAGGTTCCACATGCTCCGCATCGTACCTTATGTATTTCCTCATCCTCATTATCATTAGTATGAACACTACCTGCAAGAAGTAGCTGGAACATTCTCGTGAGTACGTTGTTTTGACCTGTATCGTCAACATTGTCATCATTACCATAATCTAAATCGAAAAGAGTAAACGAAAAGTGCCTCTATTCACATTCTTTTTATAAACATCGGTTGCATCACATTAACCCTTTGAGGAGAGGCGGTACATATCTGTATCGCTTTTTTGTTGTCGATTGTAGAACTATAATAAACTAGGCTCAAAGACTCTGGTAGAAATTTGATACAAAAACAAGGGTATGTGTGTGGATGTTAATGTGAATCTTTTATTCATACTCAAGAACACCCACACCATCGCGCATGATGGTCTAGACGTTAAGGATTAACGTTGAATACGGCGGCTATGTGCGCTGTTCAGAAAACATCGTAAGACATCGTATACGTCAGCTGTCTACTGATTCATTTATGCGTCGCAATAACAAAAAAAGTAATGAATGAAATCAGATTTCAAACCAATCTGTTACCAAAGCTCTTTACAATGAAAAAACAGAGCACTGACTGGCTCTAGGTTGTAAATAAACAACTTGTTGAAAGTAAAATATCAACTAGGAAGATATACCCTGATCCAAATTATCTTTTAACAATAGACAAAGAACAAACTATTGTTGTGCTATATGACACTCCATGACTATGTGCATATTAATGAAATCTTACTAGACTCCTCGTTCATATTAGCAGGAATACGAGATGCAGATGAGGAAGCAGTAGCAAATTGTTCTGCATTAGATTCAGGCGTTGTATCGGATCCTAAACAAAAACGATATGATACAACATTAAAATTACAAAAGATCCTTACTTGCTGCTGGTGCATGATTTGGTGATTTCAATGCGATATTGTGTTGAAGTTTTTCACAATCTCGTTTTGTTCCTATATATAGATTCAAATATAGATTTTGAGAGTAAAAAGATTAAAAATACCTTTCATGATAACAGTCCCTTCGCATTGATTTCCATTGATCTCGACTTGGTAAGTTTCATACGTTTCAATCGTATTCGATGGAGCTCTAATAGACCGTTGAGGCACAATATCAAAATCATTTTTATCCGACCAGCGAATCAAACAAAATTCATCTTCGGCAACATTCATGTTTTCTAAAATATAGTAAATAATCAGCTTTTCGTTACAATCGAATTTCGATATCATCTTACGGGCCTGTTCAGCCAAGGATTCTTCTGGAAGTTGGTGAGACATATTAAATCATTTCATGAAATTCAATCTAAAATCAGTATCACAATACATAGGAGAAATATCTATTGTCTTAATTTCTGTAGAATTGACACATAAAAAAAACTATTGATCTGCTTCATTTGTTAAATAACCTTTCGCATCAACAGGCCGTATTATAAGTGTGTGTATGTGCAAGCCGGACACTAATCGATGGTCCTTAAAAGTTGTCATACAAATACCGACAGTCATATCCATACTTCAATGGGCAACAATCGAAATAATTCAATGTCGAAACAACCGACTGAAATGAAATTCTTAAGAAGCGCAGAAAGTTGTACCTTTCGGAATAAAATTTGCTGTTTGAGTGTTTGGGAATCTCTCGAATTTCAGTTAACACTCCTGGACATCGAGAGATCACGCTATATAATAAATGATTCGAAAAATACCGAAGACAGAGCAGATGACGCATAATAGATAACTTCATGTGTAAGAAAAAAAGGAAAAGAAAGCGTTTTTGTAATAAGATTCTTGTTAAAATAAAGTGAGATCCACCGGTGGGTGTCATCGCCGCGAAAATGTCAAAAATCGAGCAGGACTCTCATAGAACAGTCGCCGAAGTCTTGTCAAAAGCAGTATATGCATGGTTCCTTGTCCATACTTTATATATAGACATCGTTCTGTGAATTAATAGGACAGTGTATATTATTTTTAACTGAATTATGCTATTATTCATATATAGAAAATTTACTGTTAAAGTCTGAATGATTTTCATTTATTAAGAATAGAAAGGAATCAATTGTTGAAATAACTTTGTGAAAAGATGTTGCTGGTCAATCTACAATGTTCTGATTAATTCTTGAAGATAGAGATGTGCGGTTTCAGTTTAGTGATCACTGAGTACACTGATAGACCGAACACTGCAGCACGTAGGGCGTTGAGACATCGACATTTACTGATATACCAGGTAAATCTGTATCGGTAAAGGTTAGTGTCCTAGTATCTTCACTTTTTACATTTTAATCGTGCATCCCTGCTTTGGAAAGCGTTTAAGTAATCAGTGTATAATTTAAAACCATAGAACTTCGACCTATATAGACTAAGTTTTCCTCTAGATCGCTCATTTTGGGAAATGGATTTTTATAACAATCATAGTTTTGTCTAAAGTATTCTGAAAGACAGGAGCTTACAAGGATGATCAGTACTTCAAGTCTTCCTCCCGTCAAGATGTCAACATTTTACAATTATTCCTTCGAAAAATATTATTATTGGTCAGATCATCAGCCGTTCACTAATTTTTGTTAGTAATCCCTAGTGAAAATACTCATCAAGCGAGTACGACTTTCCAGCATGAGTACTCATATTACTCACGCGAGTACTCGAGGAATTTTATGTGTATTTTTACTCTCCGTGTACTCTAATGAGTACTCGTACGAGTGTATTTTTAAAAATTTACTCATAGGCAGACAGATGAGTACTCAAAGTCGTACTCATGCTAGTTGTTTCGCAGAATATTTAGCAAAACACTTATGCATTAGCATATACAAAAATAAATTGGAGCTATATAATAAAAAAAACTAATGTAATAAAATGAAAAATAGAGAAAATCAATTGAATAAATTATTTATTTTATACTCTATTTTTTTTGGATGAATCATTTGTACGGATAAAACAAATGGTGACTTTAAGATAGAAAAGAATAATGATTTTTCATTTTCATTTGTTGAATTCTTCGGAAAGATTAAGTTTTTTCTAAATATATTAATGTAGATTCGTTTTTATTTTATTTCCTAAGCTTAGGCCAAAATTCTTTCATTAAAATGCAATTTTTTTAGATTGATTGTAGAATATCATGGAACACAAGGCAGTTCGCAAATTGTGTTACAAATCGATCACGATTTTAAAATAAGAAGATGTGTTAATAAACTATAGACAAATAATTTTATTTTGTATTTATTTTTTTGTAAATTTCCTGATGATTGTAAATAGCGATGGATTTAAAAATATCTGTTTAGTTTTCTAGTGTAATAAGCAATATTGTACGTTCATTTATTGTCACGTTTCTCATCGTTGTTGATTAATTTATTATTTTTCTGCTTCAGTGTATTTTACTGTCCTTAATTTATGTCTTATTGTACTCTCATTCTCTAGGATATAGACAAAGAAACTTTTATTGTTAGAGAAGATAATTAAATATTTCTTTTTTCTTTATTTTATATAATGAAAGTACGTTTTTATTTATTTTTTCGAAAGAAAAATGAAAAGAATAAATAAAATTGTATTTTTATGGTATGTAAATACAGAAAATATTTAATTTTCTTCGCTCCTAATAAAGATTTCTATGTCTGTAATCTTTACGTTAAAATATATGAAACTGATATAAAAATTTGTCGTTCTCATGTTGATCATTTTTCTCAACCTTTCATTATGTCCTCTGTTTGTTGGTAGTATTTTAATATTAAATAAAAATTAATGTAGTACAACGGTACTAACCAAAAATATGCTTATAAGTATCTTACATAGGTCAGCAGAGCACACAGATACTAGATAGTAGTACTCACAAAACACTCAATATTACACAGCGAGTACTCGATTGTCGTACTCAGATACTCAGATTCTAGCAGGAGTACTACTGATGAGTACTCAAAATGCGTGAGTACTCATGAGTACTCGTGACATTTTCTAGCGTGAGTACTTTTTGAGTACTCGCCTATGAGTATCTTCACTAGTACCTACATCGGTGATCTTTTTACCTTGAAAATTTCAAACCAAACAGATATGCCTACGACAAAACATATCTATCACAAAAGTTACAAAAATATCCTTCTCTTATGGTAATGACCGTAGAAAAATCTAGATGTCTCGAGAACAAAAGAAATTTTTTGCAAATAGACAGTGTAGAAATTCATCAAACACTTGCCGCTGGAAAGTATATAAAAGTAGTCAAATCGGTCACCATTCATTGATCAGCTTCAATTCCAGTGGAATGTGACGTCGTATGAATGGTTTTTATTAGATTCTTTGTGGATTTGCTTCACATTTTGTTTTTGTTTTGGAATTATTCGTTTTTGCAGAATACTATGTTGATAGACGTTGCTTACTCCTTTAACAGCATCGTTTCGCAGGCAGACAGAAGTATGGAAAGAGAATGATGTTGTTGCCACTCTACCTCGCCACACCACTGTTTATAGTGTGATTAATGTAGAAAAAAAAATCTATAACGACGTAAAAGAAAAATTCAAGAAACATAAAAGTTTTCAGTGCCACATTGTTCGAAGAATCAGTTTGAGTAAATATTGATTCGGTATGAATTCGTTGATCGGATAGAGATCGATCGATGCAGACTGCTCAAATCATCAAAGCATCTATTGTGAACGTATTTTTTTAAGATGATCAAAGGTATATTTTATTTCATGACACATTTTCTATGTAGAAAACAATAGATATGTACCAAGGACAGCTAGTTTTCAACTATACTTTTCTTATTAAGTTACTGGAAATCATTTAATATATTTCTTAAACAAAGATTATTCTTATGAAAGAATAGATGTCAACGAATAGAAAAGTATACGGCAACGTTCGGTCGTGTGCACATTTAGGTGTACGCGAATCGAAGAATCTCCTGATTGTCGACATCTATGCATTCAAACTCACATCTATGTATAACCAACCGCTCGCAGCAATGTCGCTACGCATAAGGCCATTAACGCATTCAGCAGCCATAGAAGTTTGCGTTGCAGCGCTTTTTCTCTCTTGTCACTGAAAGAAAAACAAATTCGACTGAAAAGTTGGAATAAATCACAGTCAATCATTTTTTTCCTTCATTCATGTAAATATTTCCAACATATGAGATGCGTTTTACATTCATTACGAGTTTCCGAACTTTATTGATAGGTCTAAGTAAAAAAAGAACAATTTATAGCTAGATCGAAAGTTATACTATTCGATCATTGGAGTTGAGAAGTATAGGAAAATAATGTCATTAAATATAGTAAGGGTGTGGGTGTGTGGAACTGGGTGTAGGAACGGGTGTGGAATGTGGGATGTGGATGGGTGTGCGGGCAAAAATACCATATAAACACCCGACATCCAATTCTACACCTGCACTCATACACCACGTCCCATACACACGCACACTCTATGGTAGACTTTTCAATACTAAATAGTAATTCACGCACGTAAATCTAGAGCACATGTTATAATCATAATTACTGATATCAACTAAAATAGCATATTCTTATTCTAATTTTGATAAAAATTAAACGGGAAGAGAATTTCAAGATGTAAGAAATTATAGTACAATATTGAAGTTGATGTAATGAACTCAATGGAATGTTAGGACTCAACTTTTGAGTCTGAGTAGCCTCTTTTTCGAACATTTCAAAATAATGTCTTAAAGATCATTCAGTGCAGCATTGAACGGACTACAATATGAAGGGATTATATAGGCAATCGCTTTGTGACGTAGCCATTTAATCAAGATACCAGAGGACAAGTAACCTTTCTAGGCTGAAAAAACATTGTATCTCGATTTTTTCGATTCTCTGTTTGGATGAAGAAGAAATGTCACATGTATAGATTTATGAAGCAAGTCAAGCTCTATCGATTGGTATATGACTCAATTTGAATAGTGAAAAATTTGTCACCGAAAAATTTCAAAAAAAGTATGGATCAATTTTTCACAGTTTTTTGCGCTCTTTTTGAGGGTACTTGCGATCGGACAGCCCTAGTGAACCAGCGATAAATCTTTAGACCGTAACATTTTGAATTCATCTATGATAGATAAAGCCCGAAATTTCTAGGGGTCAAATCCAAAATCGGTTGACCACCATGTGCTCCGATAGCCAAAAATATTTGGTGTTTTCATGGAATGTCTCTTAAAAGGAGAAATTTATTCACAAGCATTGATCGATTAGAACCTT